TTCACTTCTTTACAGGCTTAAAAAAAAAAAAAAAAAACCACATAAGTCATAAAAACGAGAGCCCATTCCAGGCTTTCTCCACAACTCGTGTTTGGAGAAAGCACCTTAAAGCTTGGTACCAGCATGTTCTGCTCCAAAGGAAGAGACTTAAAATACCAGCAGCATCACCTGATCCCATTGTGCAAGGGGTAAATCACCAAACAGAGGCACAGACCTGTCCTACCGGCGCTGGCCGGTGTCATTTTAACGGAAGCGAGCATCGTGGCGCTTTCATCAGTGGCCGAGCAGGAGGCAGCGAGCTGGAGCTCAGGGATGAACTTCATCTGGTGGCACCAGCTCCCCAGGAGTGCTGCAAAAGAGGAAAGATTTCGCTTCATGGAATTGTGGTTTGAGCCTCAGTGTGTTTTGCTGCAGAAACCCTGGTTTTATGGGAGGAGATGGGGTGGGGGGTCCGTTCAGGCTCATCTGCTGTTGCTGCTTCTGAAGAAGAGTCCAGAGGCACAGGGATGGTGAAATGCAAGAATGAGGGGAAGCAGCAAACAGGAGGGGACTGTCCACACAGAAGGTGGCGAAAAGGGAAACACCGGAGAGAGAACCAGTCTAGAAAGCCAAAGGAGAAGAGAGGAGATAGGACATTGCTGTGCATCACAGCAAGACCAAGTGTGCATCATCTGCACCGACTCAACGCCACGAGAGCATCCTGACTGCACCAGGAGCAGTAACATCCCCCAGAGGGATTCCTCACTCTGGCATCCCATAAACAGAGGCTCCGTGCAGATGCATGAGCCATCTGGGGCAGCTGGTGCTGTGCACAGCGAGGGAGGACTCACACCAAGGTCAGGGCTCCTCGGAGAGGGGCAGGCAGCAGAGCTGCTGCTCCGGGTGACACAGGCTGCTCAAACCCCAGAGAACCCCTTGGAGGGGTCATTCATCACCTCTGGTGCTGTACATTGTGCTGAAACGAGGGGCTGGTTTATTAAGCCAGTTTCACCAGGGAGGATGCTCTTGTTTCCTATTTGATGAAAAAATGAATGTTTCGGTAGTAGACATTTTTCACAGCAGGACGAGAGAACTGTTTAAGGGGAAGACAAACACAAGCCGCTCTTGGGATTGCTTTCGTGGGCACGTTGGAGAGCAGGCGGGATTTGCTTGCCAGGATGGTATCCCTGCTTCTGAATCCGGGCAGCTCACAGTCCAGATGCTCTTCCTGCAGAACGGTGATTTCATTTGCACAGTATCAAAGGCAGAGCAGAATGAATTATCTGGGGTTCTGTAGTGCTGAGAGAGCAAGAATTACGGAAGATAGCTATGAAAATAAACACTGCCCTACCACCAGTAACAAATGATGTTCGATTTCTTCCTTTTTTTTTTTTTTAAGTCAGGAAATTACTTTTGCAATCGCTGCTCCTTAGCCCTCATCTTTCTCCACAGCGGACGGTGTCATTGACATTGACTGCGGTGCTGTGCAGCCGGGGTAGTCTTCGGAACATGCCATCGACGTCTTTGCTGCCAGAATTATCGATAATGTCTTTCATTGCCATGCAGAACCCATTCAAACCTGTTGAAAACAAGAATTGCAAATTGAGACCTAGACTCAACCAGATCACTCATAACTGAGGAACAAGATCACAAGGATGGCACGCTGTAGCAGCGCTGGATGAACGGTGAGCCCACACAGAACCCCGCAGCACGTGTCCGCAGGCTCCAAACCAGCGAGTGCATTAACGGGGAGCCGAAGCGGTGCAGCTCAGCGCCACTGCGCACCCAGCCAGGCTGGGAGGCAGTTACCCATAACCAGGCTGTTCATACACGCTGCTTTCCCCTTTGCACCTCTATCTGCAGTAACTCTGCACACAAACCACTACATAACTGTGAAGTATTAAACCTGTGCTGTGAATAGCACTCACTCATCAGAACTTCCCCAAACCGACCAAAACAGAATCCCAGGCTGCAGCTGCTATCTCACCTCCCTGGTAGAAATCGCTGCCCCCAGTGTTCTTGCCTTTAAATACGGAACGTCTGAAGGAGGACGGGAAGTTACATTTTCATAAGGAACACATCAGAAATTAGGAGGAGAGGAAACTCTTTGCATCAAATATTTTGAGATACGTTTCACAGCCGGTTTGTCGTTTACTGTAAGCGACCAGAGGAAATATCTTCCACTGGCTGGGCAAGGGAGATATCTCCCAAAGGCAGTCTGTGGCGTCCGTCTGAAAATCTCCTGGTTTGGTTCAAGAACTGATTGCCTGCTTTTATGGCACGCAGAATGTCATCATTACCTCCTGCACCAACAGAGGAGGAGCTGCAGTACGGCAGATACCCTGGAAGACCCTCAGAAGATGACGATAGCGATAATGTGTCAGAAATAAGAAACAGCCCCTGTTTGAAAAGCTTTCCCACCCCAGGTGACTGAGGGAACACCTCCTGCGGGTGCAAGCACCCTTCAGAGAACAGCCCTGCAGACCAGAGCTAGCGGAGAGAAATTGAGGATCATGCAAGTGTTGAACCCCAATTCCAATAATGCTTCAAGACAAATTCCACCCAGCCACACATTCCCTGGCCAGAACCTGTGCGCCCATTACTCCTCTTCAGCCACAGAATACTGCATGTCTCCTCCCTTCCCTTAGAAGTGTTCTCTCATATCAGATTCCTCTCAAGCGTTATCTGCACCATTTCACAGCGTGATTTTATTCCTACACATTTATCTCATTCCTTCCTAACTGCATCCTTCTCCGGTTTCTGTTTCCACACCTCTCCTGTTCTCCAGTCCCATTGACACCCTTCCTTCCTCTGCTTCGAGGCCCACTGACTCTCCAAACGCAGTTTCTGTGACAGTCACAGACAAAACCTCATCCCAGCCCATCTTACTTACCAACAGCTTACTCAGGTCTCCTTCCAGCAATGCCTCTGTTTGCTCCCTGCGCTCCGAGCTCCCATCCAGACCGCCTGCAGCTTCATACTCCCACTGACCAGGCGCGGATCTGCAGTGGCTCCGTCTCTCCTCGCTTTCGCTGCATTAGAAGATCAGTAAATCCTTTAGCTGTCCTGCTAACACCGTGCAGGTGCCCTGGCACACGTTCCTCCCTCTCTGCCCGTGCCCCGGGCTGCCTGCAGCCCCTGCCAACAGCCCGCACGTCAGGCCCGGGTTATCATCCCTTTGGGTTCTTGCGCTAGGACAGAAATGGAGAGGCACGGGCTGCGTACCCCAGGATAGCTGAAATCTAGGGCACCGTCCTCGTTAGGTTCACACAGTGACTTGCAAAAAAAAAAAAAACAAAAAACCTCTTTCTCTTGTGAGAAGCAGATTCCAGCCTTATCCTTGGAAGGATGTTCTCGGAAAGAAAAACTCCCACTCCCGAAGGATACGGACATTCCTGTGAATGAACATTCAACAAGACAGACTACAAGGTGACCGAGTGCTCAAAGAACCACATTCAATAGCGATATGATACAACAGCACGTAAGTTTCCGGCCTTTATTTGAAGGCTTTTAACAGTTACAGTAAGAATTGTCATTGCAAACCAGGAATTTTTAAAAAATTGAACAATAAAAGTTAAAAAAACATCCACAAGTCCACCTGCAAGTAAGACATGCTGGTACAGAAAGGAGACGTGAGCTTTCGCTTCTTCCATTCTGTTCATTTTTCTAACATCTGACAAAACTAAGATACTGGGAGAGGTCGGACGCTATCAGAATTGTTCCGGCAGGCGAGCATTGAATATTTAACAGCAGATACTGTACCAGTGTCACAGAGTAGCTATGTTAAGTCTACGGGTTTGAGTTGGGCTTATTGTTATTTTCTTCCCAAAAAGGACATTAAAAAACAGATTATGCCAAGATATCTACAACGCAGTCAAACTGACTACGGGAGCTTGTCCCCATCTTATTTAGAACTCATCTGGGTAGCAAAGCGACACGAGCAGTTGGAAATCTTACCAGCACTTGACTTACAAGACTGCAGTTTCAGTTTCGTTCTATAACGCACGTCCACACACTCAACAGCCTCACGAGGCGCACCAGCAGGATCTGACTCATCATTCTCTTTGCATCAAAGGACCTTCACTTGCTCTGCTAACACAGACCAACATCAACCTAACGCAACCCACCCGCTGACCTGGGTGCTTCCCAGTCCTGTCAAAAAGAGACGTGAAGCAACCAGGTCCCAGAGCACCCCCCCAAGAAGTCCTCTTCCAATTCAGCCACATGCTATTGCCATCTTTTGCTTTGAGTTGCTGGAGCGATGGAATATTTAGAGTCGAAAAAAATATGCTTCCGACCTCAAAGCGAGTCAGTAACGGTAAAGAAGATTTTATGTGCGTCAAAGCCCCCGTTCCCTGTCTGCACCTTGCAGTCCAACCCCAGCAGGCAGTGCCAGCAGCGCCCGTTCTTCAGACTACAGCACCCACAGAGCACCCGGGGGCAGGCAGAGCGTCCGCCAGCCCTGCGGGGAACACCTCCAGTTTCCAGGTCAGCTCCAGCCCGGCAGCACTTCTCTGACAGCGCTGGTCTGCGCACACACCAGTGGCAGGAACCCTGCAGCTCCCCTACGAAACACCCTCCAAACGAACCACATCAGCTGAGCTTACAGCCCATCTGCTCACCCAGACTGGGGACAGATGCAATTAATATCTTTTATAACTAACCACCAGTGCTTCAGCAGTTTTAAAACACGTCAACCGCACTGGAAGCGGTGTGCGAGCACCCCTGCCCCACAGCCCCCTGCGCACACCGTCAGCAGCAGGAAGCCGCTGGCAGGGTCACATCGCAGCCGCTTGCGGGAGGAAAAACCGCCACGCCCAGAACTCAAGCGATGGACGCCCCCAGCACCCTGCCAGGAAAGTTTCAGCATTACTGCGGCTCGAGTTAGCAAGGACTAGAGCTAAGACTGGAGAAGGAAAGCTGACATTCCAGGTCCTGCAAGCTTCCTCGTGAAAACTATCACGACCTTCAGCTTTGCCTAATCGTATCTGAAAGCACGAGAGACTCCAGCAGACGGGACACTCTTGAAATGCAGAACTTTATTTAGAAACTGCTTAAAATAGAAAAACCCTGTCAAGAAAAATCCAAGTCAAATATGGTTTTCTCAGTAAAATGGAGTTTTTAGGGCAACAAAAGTCTAGAAGGCCACAAGAGAAATAGCACCACTGCAATTTTAAACAATGGCTAGATACTTGCATTTTTGGCATTCACTGAATTTGGGTTTTTCTCTGAATTTCACAAAGATTCATGCACTACACAACAATTACCATAAAATGCTCTTCTACACACATTTTAGGACAAGCTACCACCAGAAACAAATGAGTACAAGCACAACAGGACCGATCAATCTCAGTAGTGGGGGGGGGAGAATCAGAAGTCTTGCAGGATCTTGCCAAACACAACAGTAATGAGGGGCATGATAGCAAAAAAGGACAGTTAAGGAAAGTATTTTAAATATTAATATTTAAGTTAGTCTCAGTACTGTATTTTCTGCAATAACATTAGCTCTGTTAGCCAGCATCTTTTAGTTTTTACCCCAGAAGACTACTGAACTGGCAAGTATTATTATTAGATATGCCCTGGTTTGAAAGAAAGTGGGAAAAAAAAGAAAAGGAAAAAGAGAAACTCATCCTCACGTGCTCAATTCACTTTCATTCCAAGATAGCTGCACAGTGCAAGTCCTGTTACAACTATTGGATTTGATCAGCATTCCTTGGGATGGGAAAGAGAAAAGAACAAGCCAGAGACCAAAAAGTATACCAACAAAAATAAAAAGAAACAGGATAAATAGGAACAAGAGCCAGGAAGGAGAACTACTTCTGAAGAACATTTTAGGCAGTAAGGCTGGATGCCCTTTGCTTTGTGTTGTCGTTTTGGTTTTTTGTTTTTCTTACAGAAAACACAGTACATTTTGGCAAAGTCATTAGCCACATCGCCATAGAAAAAGGCTTTAGCACTCTTCAAGGTAATTTATGTGTCTCAGCTGTTCATACTCCCTCTAATCTTGTGACAGGCAATGTTAAGGCCCATTTCATCAAGAACTGATCACTTAATAAGCAGCTTTTCACAGGAATGGAGTTTTGTTTTAAGAGCCCTTTTGAGCACTCGCTGACACAGGGAGGTTGCCACGCAAGCCTCGCAGACAGCAGTGAATGGAGTTCAACAAGCATCTACCCCAATATGAAGCACATAAAATCTCCTGTCACATTACTTCAATTTGGCATATGGAAGCATATTTTAAATACTCTTAAGGCATTTTATTATAATTTCTGTGCTGCAATTTCACATTAACTCAATCTTCCTGTGAGTCAGAGTCTTTAACTTCTCTACTACACACCACCTCCGACACAAAAAGAGTCTTCCCACAAACCAGTGTTTTACCAGCAAACCATTCTGCAACAAGCTCCAAATATTCAGCCTCTTGCTCCCTAAATATACCACCTCGATGTGAATACTGCTCTGCTACAAAGTGAGAAAGAGCTCCGGACTCAAACCCACTGTAAAAAGTGAAACTTCCGCAAAGTGCACTTTAAGAAGAGGTACTTTTTTGCTTATGAAAAGAAACCAGTGAGTCCTCTAAGAATAAAGTGGAGTATTTTACAGTTAAGCACATGATCTGGGGCAAAGAATTCTGATGTTGCTGCTCTGCTGGTACAGTATGTGGTCTGTTAATACTCTTCTTGTTCCTCCTGCAGTGCTCCTTCGTCAGGTATCACAAAGCCTTCCTGAAGGGGAATAAAACAAGAGCTTTAATAAAAATCTGGTGTCGAACCAGTTCCTGGCTACTCTCTATGCTCTTTTTCTTTTTTTCACCTTTTACTTAGGATAAATAACCTGAAGTCACCATTTACAGTGGCAAGATGTATTACCAGAAGAGTTATTTTCCTCATCTTTGATCTATTTGTTACATACTCTTCACGAAAGGCTAACCTTGCTTGCTGCCTATCATTATGTTATCTCTTCCTTTATTACAGGAAAAAGCTAGGCCATAAACCTAAAGGAGAAAAAAAAAAACAAGTAGAAATAGAGGGAGCCCTGGAAAGCAAACCAGCTTCCAATTACAAGGGGAGGGAGAAACTATGCAATACACTTTATACGAGACTACTTACATCTGTGGCATAAAGAATTTCCACAATCCTCTGCAACACTGGATCATTCTCCCCTTCGTTCTCCTGGCAGATCAGTTCAATGTTCCTCAATTTGCCGAAGTAGAAGTCTCTCTCCTTCTCCAGATCTTCAACAGTAAGTTTCAACACGTTGATCTGCCAAAGGGCATCAAGAATAACTTATCCACCAAAAGACAGAACTCAGTATTATCTGTTCAAAAGGCAGGGTCCCCAGAGTTCCCAGAAGGGTGCTGATATGCAAAGCACTCCAGAAGTGACCAAGACAGGGGCGGAGGGGGAAGGGGACTGTGAGAGGAGGAAAAAGTCTATTTCTCAAATTGCAATCCTATTGCCACAACAACACCCAGTCCAACACACGCAACACCACCTGGAACTCTAAAGGATTATTACATGAAATAGGTAAAGCACTGAGTGCCTGCAGTTTTCTCTGCTAACACATTCTTTCAAGACAACTCTCCGGCCGACGGCAGTTTCGGTTGCGTTACGCTCAGCATTTCAGTGAGGCAGCAGCTGCTCATAGCTCAGTTGGAATGCTGTGATCGCCGCAACACAGCTGTGGGAATACTGAAAAGCAATGCTATGTGTGACATGGCACACGCTAGGTTTAAATGTCTGGGCACTCCCGTACTGCACAAGGGGTTTCGCTCCTCCCGGGAGAGCAAGACCATTATAAGGAAGGTGTCCCATTAAGAGATTCTAAATGAGCTTATTGATTCAGATAATTTTCTTTCACCTGCCTGACCCAGTTATTTCATGCTACCAAAAAAAAAAATTTGCAGACAAATCTGTGAAGCACAGGTCAGTACACAGGGCCATCATGGTCAACGCACCTGCTCGATCAATCCTGCCGACTCATCGTCTCCTCCAGCCTTTTTGACCATTCCACTGCCAGCTTTCGGAGTTGCTGCGGTCCTCTGCGTAACAATGGGCCTCTGTGGGGCTGCAAGATTAACTCAGCGTTAGTTCCTCCCAGAACATCCGTCTTCCTCCCATAAAGGTACTATTCCCCTTCCAAGCATGCTTAGGCATGGAAGAGTTTGAAGAAATGTTCCTCCCTCCTTCTTGTCTCCATGTGACACGTCCTTTTTTTTTTTTGGCATGTGTTGGCACCCATCCTTGCCATTTTCTCTTTTAGAGAAGATTGTTCTTCCTGCAGCTTCCAGATAACTGGGAACTACAGAATGACTCTGTTTGAAGCCTAGCATCTCTGAAACAAGATGCGAAACACTATAATCTCATACACTGATTTGAAATAGCAACCCAGTCTTAGTTCCCCCAGAGTTTTTAATGATCTAGATAATCTCTTAGCTACTTTCTCTACCTGCACTGCCAGAACTGAGAGATTTCTTGGGTTTGTTCATAACTGGAGCAACAAGGTTCGGTGCTACCGTCTCCTGGCCTTGTCGAGCAGCAACAGGGTCATACTCCTTCCCATCATAGTTTGCATCAAAAAATTTTTTGAACCACTGAACAAATTCAAAGTTGTCCTGAAATTTTCCTTTCACTAGTTTGTCCACAGGAATTATCTGGAGGGGAAAAAAAAAAAAAGTCAAACTCATTAAGGGTAAAGGACCTCCCTCTCTTTTTATATAAAGTTTTAAAATCAGTACACTCAGAAGATATGCAAACGTAATTCTTTCTGCAGTCTAGAGAAAATCCTCCTTGAACATAACTAGGTCAAATAGTAGGATTTTTTTCTAATAATTGGAATCAAAACCAAATTTTCACTGTAAGGGTCCAAATAACTTTAAATAATTCTGCAGCGAGGTTCTGCTACACCAAGTTTCAACACAAAACTTCTTTCTGTAAATTTGAAGCTGGCTCATCCAGTGCTAGTTCTCAGGAATCCAAACTGCCGACCAGTTCCACAGACTGCTAACACACAGAATGGATACACGAGCCAAACATCACCTTCCAGCAGATTACAGTGACAGTTCCTCTGGAAAGAGGAGTATTACTGAAGATTACGAAAAAGATGCAGCAAATTGTTTAGTCTTGTCTGTAAGCACGAGCTGAGAATCCGTGACCTGGCAGGAGCCAGGACGTGATCATTCGGCACCTGAGCACAGGGCTGGCTGTCCAGCTCCGGACACGCTGCACAAGACCAGTTAAGTGCGTGTTGAAGCTGCTAGCCAACACAGAATGGGATGTCTTCTTAAAGACAGGAGAAAAATTAACCCAGAATTGTTCTGCATCATCCCAAACACGCTGTTGTAACTGCCACCTAGATAAATCCCCCCTCCACAAGCATAACCACCATCCGATCTGAAAAGGTTTTTTGCAGATCTCATTTTCTCTAGCTTAAAATTACACGTGCTTGTAGAGTGGAATTGTTAGGAGCACCACGGCAGCAGGGTATGGGAACATGCCTGGTACAAAGATGGTTCAGACAGGAAGCTCAAGGAAACCTTATCTCATAGAAATTTCAATATTAGTCTGTGCTACATCAGTTGCACAGAACTGAAATGGAAAAATTCATCTCATCATTAAGAACGGGAAAGCTAACCTCAGCTGGAGTAGAGCAGATCTTGTCCTAAATCTAGTGAGGACCCCAGCACAAACCAAAACCAAAAGTTTTGAGATTTACAAACCAAAAACAAACACTGTTCCCAGAGTTTTTCAGCTCTAAATTTGAAAGTATATTCCATCTACTTTGACATTAAGAGCACAGAGCATCAGTTATAACCCAGCTTACTTTGTCAACACCCATTCGTTTAAAACCTGCTTGTAGAACCTTGAAGTTTTGAATGTACTCGTGTTCCAATTTCGCTTGAAACTTCACTTTCTTGAGCGCTACAGAACCTGGGAAGAGCATGTCCATAAACTGACAGTACGCAGCACCTGCCAAACGAAAAAGAACACAAACCCTTGGATGAATCAAGTCAGGTCACTAGCCTACGTGAGTTACTTTTCAGTCAGATCAGCAAACCGACCTGACTCATTCCTCAGCTGCACAATCCCTTAAAGGCAACAAAAGCAAGAAAACAGGAACCCTCCATCTCCTGTTTTGGTACAGCATGGCCATAAATGAGCTTAAGCACACTGCAGAACCAAACTCTTGGTCTCAAGACCTGAACTTTCAAGAAGAGCAATAATGCCTCCATAATTCCAAGAGAAAAAAAAAAATCCAGTGAGGAATTTGACTTTCCTCACAGGTGTCCGTACAAACCTGAGATGTTACATGTGTCCAACTGGCACGTAAGCTATTCTTATCAATACTAACAGAACTAAACTAGAAAAATAACTATTCTAAAAGTTACATTTAATAATGATTAAAATAGTGATACATTTACTCACTGCAAACAGACCCTATACACAACTCAGGGTGCCCTCAAAGGTAAGTATAATCCAACTTAATTTGGTCTCTTAAACCAAGCTTTAAAGAACCGAAATGAGACAGTGTTTCTATTAGTTCTAAATCCTTCATGTCAGCTCTTACTGTAACAAGAGCAAAAGAGGGATTCAGCTCAGCCACAGAGCAGACAACCACATCCAAAAAATGAGCTTTTATAGAACATACAAACCCATTAAAAAAATATTTAAACTATATCCTCACTCTGCAGTAACGATATGCAACTGTGTGCCTCTGAAAATACACACACAACATTTCCAGTCCTATTCCCCCCACCAGTATCAGTGGAGAGTAATGGGAACCTTAACCTGAAACATCAAACAGCTACCTGACAAGCTCTTCTTGCCCAAAACCAGACTATTCTTCTCAACCACAGGTTACAGAAGGTCCTACATTGTTCACTTTCTGTCAGGATATTTTGCAGGTCTGTGGGGCTCCCTCTTTCACCTGCTGCTAGAAGATTGCTGCTCATCCACTGGTGCAAATAATAATTAAAAAAAAAAAAATCTTTCTGTTTGATCCCTACTCAGTTCAGTTGCTGAAGAACTCCAACGCCCAGCTCAAAAACGGGTGACTTGCCAGAAATCAGGGGTTTGCTTACCGTTGGAGTCTGAGTGATAAGCACGATAAAAAACAGAGAGATGACAGCATAAGCCAAAGGTCGTCTTTTGTGAATTTATGCAACCCCAGACTGCTGCTGTCACTGCTGCCCTCGCCAAAGGCAGCAAAGCCAGCTTGGAAATTCCCATTTTCACATGACTGTGACAGACAGTGAAAGCCACTTCCATACCTGCAGAGGCATGAAGTATTTTTGCAGACACAGGAAAGGGACATTACTCAGCCCATACCACATCAACACCTCTCAGCCTTCTCCTGAAAACAGGTGAGCTGAAATTCTGCAGAGCCAGCATTAATCACCCTCACTTCTCAGAGCCAGGGCTCACACAGCAGTCAAGGCTCACACCAATTCTAAGCAGAACTGCTCAGCCATATAAATCAACACTGCACCCAACAGGTTTTTAACCTCTCCGTCTGAAAGGGAACAGTGCTTATCACTCCCTTACTTGTGTGGTTGTAGATCTGTAGTTCCTTCATCCTTAGCTTTTCTCCACCACCTCACTAGACAAAAGCCATTATAAATACCTCTCAGATGTTTACTGTAAGTCCCCTGCTTCTCTGCAATCCTTGTCAACATTTCCTCCACAGACTCAGCCACGGGCTGTACTGACAGTCCCAAACTTATTTTACTATTATTCCTCCTTTTATTCCCCATCTCTCATTCTGTGAGCTACACCTTATCACAGACTCACTCGATGAGCTGCGCCTCCACTTTTCACCAAGTCCCTCCCCGCCTGCTGCAGTTATCCAAATCACCATCTTTACCTAGGCTGCATTTTTAGCCTTGGGTTTCTTTCAGCTCTTACTCCGCAGACTATTATTCCTTATTTGCTTCTACAAGCCTCCTCCCACACACACACGCTCCTCCCCATGATGACACTTGACTCCATTTCTGCACCACAATCACTTCCCCTTTTCTGCCTGCAACTCTCCCGAGATTCACCTGTGCTAAAGTCAACTCAAGGTACAGTTGAGGTGACACAGACCGACACACTCCTCTGCCATAAGGAGTCATAAAGTCCTGAAGGTGAACCCAAGAGTTACCAGTATGCTTTCCTCACGCTGCTCCTTCTGCCCAGCCGGAATCTTCAGGCACCTCCTGAATCTCCGAATAGTTCTCTTCCATAAGAAATCACGTTTGTTTATGCTAGTTACAACACTTCTAAGACTTACTCTGTCTATCAAGACTAAATGCTTAACCCCTCATTGGAAAACACCCTCTCCTAGGAGTCTTTTCTCCACGTTAACCCCCATTCCTTCTTCGGCGCCTCTGCTGCAGTGAGTCAGGAGAACGCACCTTGTCATTACACTCACATTATTAACAACCATTTCAGCAAAACTCCAACCACAGCCTGACTGTAACACCGACCATGAACCTGTTCAGACCAGGAACTCAGCCAGCAGCACGGCTGCGGAGGGGAGCACAGCCCGCACGGCGCAGCTGTACCTCTGAAAAAAAACGCACACCAACCCCCGAACCCCCCCCCGCCGAGCCCCGTACCTGAGCACAGCTGTTCGATCTTGGTCAGCGTCAGCTGCAGAGACTCGTTGATCCATGCCAGCATGTCATGTCGGCTCAAATTATCGCTGGTCACCGAAGTGGAGTACACATTCACTGCCATTTTCTGAAAGACACAACCCCAGGCGT